ATTTCTGTTTGTCAAATTGTAGGAGTTATCAGATTGGATTCTGCACGACTATTATTTGATTGGTATACTTACTACTCAATATGACATGACACATTTACATAACTGCATTCTAAGTAAACAGTCTGCAACGCTGCACACTAACAGAACACTGTTAGAAAATAACGTGATTTAATAATGAGAATGGTTAAAATTCAACTACTAACACATAACCAGTTAATAAAGTGCATGTTTTGTTTAGCTACGCATGTTTACACGAAACGCCTAGTGCGACATTCGCTGAATGTTAACAGCAGATATAATCAATAGTAAACTTGAAGAAGACACATCAATGTCTGTTGATATATGTTGTATGTTCTCTACATAAAATAATTTTCACTATGTATTTTATAAACCGTTTCTTGTCAACTTATTAGTATAGTAAACCTGAAAAAAAGACACATCAATGTCTGTTGAAATATGTAGTACGTTCTCTACATAAAATAATGTATTTTATAAACCGTTGCTTGTCATCTTATTACTGCATTACCGTAATATGTTTCCAAAATGAGTAGCAGATATAATCTCTTCCATAACTTGATAACCACTGAAAGAGAAACTTCTTCGTCATTTTGAGCTTATAAGTGCTAATCACTGGATCGAAATGTATTTCTCATTACAATTTATGAAGAATATCACGATTAATTTCAATATATATCAGTTAATGTTTTGATTTTTTATCGTATTAAGTGGAAATTTACGTTGCAATTGACGATCATTTATTACGACAAACTCTTTCTCAGATTTACTATTAGCTCACTACTTAAAAATAAATGTTTGTTCCTATGGGGTACATTTTATAAATATAAAGCTTGCTGGAAGCAATTGATGTTTCTGTTATTCTTTATTTCAGTGTTTATTGTTTAATTAAACGGTTACATATGGGTGCTAGATGTAACAAAGATATTTTATATGTATTCCGCTAACATAAAGATACTTTGAGCTCAACATAAAAACCCTCCCAGAAGATAACTTTGTGACTGGTAAAGTAACGCAATCCTGAGTTTAACTTTTTATTCTCTATATGTAAAAGCATATTCTTAGAATAATAAAATATTCGGCTGTTCTATATCTTGTAAAATATACTAGATAGTAACATTGTAAATTTATCAGTTTCTTCATGGACAATCTCCTTATCAATACCTTCTGGAAAATGTTGCAATGCATCGTGCATTAGAGAGAGAGATAATTAAACTAAACGTCTTCAAACCAATGTGTCTCAGCCAGACAATAAAGAATTTATTGCTGTGATAAACCAGATAATGAAACAACATAAGAGAAACATAAATACAAAGAAAACAATCATACAAGAGAAAAGTGAATGAATAATTTTACTAGTTTTCTCCTGTTTCACTAAATAAAATATTTGATATTGCAAAACATTTCATGGCAGTTATATACACAATTTGATACAATTTCATTCCAGTTTTCTGATTTTCAAATGTGAAACAGATACTTTGGCATAAAACCCAAATCTAAACGTCTCTTTCATTCTAACTTTCTCAATAAATAGAAAAACAAATGGTTAAGGTACATAAAAATGATAATGTTTTAAACAACAAATACAATAAATAACATTGAATATCTTTCACTAATCTACATATAAGCATACGAGTTTAATATAATGCATGCACATAATGAAATAATAGCGAAAAAAAAGTTACTAAAAAAACTGACTAGAGTGATAGCTACAGTAAAATAATTTGTTTTTTGAAAGGATAATTTTAAGTAATAAATTTTCGTTCTTTATAAATATATCTGTATCTTCAAATAAGAGTTACTGTATAAAATTTTCTCTGCAGGTAGAGTAAACAAAAACAGCAATATAATGCGTCAACATTCAGTTAAAGTAACAATGCAATACAATAACAATACCTTGATATTCGTTGGCGCTCTTAGAAAGAGATATAGATTCTAATACCCCATAACAGCTCTGTGCAGAAAAGTGAGTAACTTGCACAATAAGTAAACTTCCAACTTACAGATTGTTGTATTTAATTGTTTTCTATATACGGACAATTCATTTATAAACTAACACTTATAATTTCATTATTCAAAAAATCCCAGGCATTATAACATGTGCCATATTCCATACATCTATTACTAGAAGTCACAAAAATGGCAGCCCTAACAAATTAGCTAACAATAAAGCACTTTGTTAATAAGAAATAGAAATAAAGCAGTTTTTTTAACAAAACACAACAAAATAGGGTTAATAACCATATTCACAAATATATGTTTTATTCTTTATGCATGAAAAGTAAATATGCTGTTTAATGTTCACGTGGAACATCAACCGAGCTACTATATGACTAATTTATTGCCACACGGAACTGTGTTGCATGTTGCACCGCGATTCATCATTCATCCATTTTATTACCTGAAATTGATGTTGCACTGTACACTTTGATAAGTTGAACTTCTTCAACCTAAACCCTCAACAAATTGCTAACATCTACGAAACTAAGCTGAGAATACATATGGTATATCATAACATTTGTTTCCACAATTTTAAAGCTGCCTAGTTACTCAAAGATGAGGACTAACATCAGCTTTTCAACAAGTTCTTCTCTAAAACTAAAACATGAATATACTTGTTTTGATAACTAAAGATACATATGCTACTAGTAATAAAACAAACTGCAGAGTGCAGAGCAACAGATAACTTTGCGCACAATGTCGAATTAGGTTATATGGAGCCAATATGGCCTCCACGATTTTGGCATGTATTATCACTTGGGGGGCACAACACTAATTACTGGCTCTCCGGTAAAAATGACATCATCACAGGCTGAGGAAGGCTTTTTGGCCTGACTAGACTCAATATTGTTTCCCTGTTCTGACTTTTCCAATTGAATATCAGAATACTCGCTTGTAGACCTGGTATCAACTGGAATAACTGGAAAGATAGGACATAATGACACGGCTTCCTCTTGTTCAGAAGTTACAGGAGCTATTGTCATTTCTTTAGGGCCTTGAGGTTTATATTGCTTTGGAAGGGGCTGAGCATGAACTTCCTCGTCTGATGGAGAGGATATATCTTCTGAAATGGGCTGAAAGGGTAAAACAGGATTCAAGAGCTCGGTAGGAAGGGGAGGAATCGTCGGAGCTTGCTGTGCAAGCTTGTATGATGTCTGACGTACCGCCTGGCGGCGATGAAGTGATGCCTGTTTTTGCAGCACCTGTCTCTTCTGCTGCAGCCTCTGTTGAAGTAGTTGCTGTTGCAAAGGCTTGCTCTGACTAAGTAATATTCCCCCAAATTCTGGAGGTTGTCCCAATTGAGAGTCTTCACAAACAATTCCATGCCTTAAAGCTGAAGGAATTGGAGAATATGTGAAATTTTCCGGGAGACTGACACGTTTGGACACTGGTAACGCTTGTTGGTCTGGTGAAGAAAGAGCCAAACTCCCTGAAACCATTGACCAATACTGAGAGTGTTGTAGCTGATACTGGACTTGCTGAGCCTCTGGCACTTGATTCGGATATAGATTTCGAAGTGTTTGGTGTTCTTGTTTAATTTCATTTAACCCTACAATTCCACGGGCCTTAGAAGTATCGCCAAGCCGTTGACAAAAGATGGCTACACCTTGAGCAACAAGCCCATCTGAAGCACGACGGCCTTCTCGGAAGCTAGTGGGGGATTCTATGGCACTACGTTCGTTTTCTATTGGGTTATGTCTATAAGAAGGTCGGTTAACATTGTTGGTTCGAATTGGGAGCCTAGTTTGAGATAGTACTTCACATGGATTAGTTACACACAATGACTCTTCACGACTTTCATAGAAACTTGCTGTACTCTGATTTCCCTGTGAACAGGAAGTTAGACTAGAAGCAAAATCTGTTTCGATTTGCGAATCAAAACTGTCGAAGTTTGAGCCCTGGCTGGTGAAACTTCCAACTGGTGAGTCAGATAGACTGAGCAACTGTGTGAGATTACATAATGGTGGGCTGGCTCTATGACTATCACTAGATCCACAACAAGTGGTATGTTCACTGTACTGGCAAGATGGCCTTTGTTTAATGGGAGGTTGGGTTTCGGAATCTTTAGATCCTTCATTAATGTCCGTTTCTACCCCTTCATCTAAGGACTCGGTCACTCTGGACATTGGAGATCCAATTTGACTTCGAGGGGCTCTAGGGATCTGAGAAACATCACTAAGATAAGTTCCTGAAGGAAGGACGTACTGACCAGTGTCCCGTTCATTTATTCGATATGCGTGAGCAATGAAAGGTCCACCAGAGGGTGTTGTTCCGTCTGTTGTTCTACTGAACATATGATACCTCATAGCACTAATGCAAGGCCGGGCCTAGAACAAAAAATAGTATTGATCAAGATATTCGAAAAAAAAAGACAATCGATAATAAGTTATAAATATGTTACGTTACTAAATATTTTTTCATAAAGATGACCAAGTCTAAAAACATTAATAACATGAATCTTGTTACAATATTCTTCCAAAAGTTTATATCTTAATATTTAAGAAGTCATGAAGAATCTTAATATGAAAACTTATTTTATCAATATTGTTGAACGTTAATAGATATTAACATCTCATCAATTAAGTATTCGTCTCCTAAGGTCCAGTTAGGATATTTTATTTTGTATAGGATTTGTTTTCTATTGTAAAATCAATTACTTTAAAGGAAAACCGCTGCATACAATTAGGATCTTATTGAGCACATTCAACGGTTTATTCAAAACAAAGTCCCTACCCAACATTTTATACAAATCTTTCTTAGTTGTTAGTGTTTACACATCAGTTTAGGAGGAGGAGGAGATTAAAAGAAAATGAAAGTAACGTACTTGAGATTGGGTGATCTGCGACGCACATGTTGGGCCACCTGGCTGCTGATAAAAACTGAAGCCATGAGGGGGTGAATCTAGTTTTCTCATTGCTTGTTCAGCTATGGTGCTAGGTCTACGGGGATGGCAACTGTCAACTGGTTGTTTCACTACGGCAGGCGGTACGGTTGCTCGGTGTTGTCGCAAACGATCCAACAAAAGAAAATATATAGCTGCATGATGGTCGAATTTCTCGTTCACTAGAGACTGAGAAAAAAAATAATAACGTAATATTGTATATTTTTCTGTAATGCCATTTTCTTCTTTAAAAAGGCAGTGTTATAAATGCATTATATTTCTCAGTGAACCGAACTCTTCCAGGTGGCTTAGCAGTAAGCTTGAGGGCTTATAACGCTAAGATTCGGAGTTCCATCCTTGTGGTGGGCATAGCACATATAACTCATTAAGTTTTTAAGCGCCCTCAAATAAATTACTTTAATATCATAACGGCATAAAATATGTGTGTTTGTGTATGTTTATAGCAAAGCCACGTCGGGCTATCTGTTGTGTCCACCCCTGATTTTAGCGTTGTAAATCCGAAGACTTACTGCTGGCCCACCGGGGAACCAGCATAAAATAACTCGTGAGAACTATCTGCTAACTCCTACAATTTGACAAACAGAAATACCTAAATAGTTATATCCCACTTGTCTCGTGAAAGCTATCTGATAACTCCTATAATTTGACAAACAGAAATACCTAAATAGTTATATTTCACTTGTCTCGTGAGAACTACCTGATAACTCCTACAATTTGACAAACAGAAATACCTAAATAGTTATACTTCACTTGTCTCGTGACAACTATCTGATAACTCCTACAGTTTGACAAACAGAAATACCTAAATAGTTATACATCACTTGTCCCGTGAGAACTAATGATAGCCACCATTACTATAATACAGTATTTTTATACTGCTTTGTTAAATGTTAAATATGTAGTTTCATGTTTGTGTGAATTAAAGTATAGGTAGGTAGTAACGTCAGTTATGCTCAAATGTATTATTACTATGTAGTTGAGAATGATTATGTGACTATATAGAATTTTACGTAATATATTTCATATGGTAAAGCAATAACGCTTCTTGAAACTTAATATTTAATCTTAAGCAATGGCTAAATTATACGTTTGATTTTTTTTTTCGAATTTGCAACAAAAATTAGTTAATACCTTCAATAGACACATAATTATCCGACATTTGATCTTTGGTCTGAACAAACTAGAATTAAGTTATTTTTTGTTAAGATGAGCATAAGCTATATTTTCCGAATATTTCTAGATTGGTCCTGTCTGAGCCTTGATCATCAGTCATATGAACTGGCATAGGTTGTAATTCATCTACAAGTTTTATCTTGTGTTATGCAATAACTGAAAACAAGAACTATTAGATTTCATCTGATTTATAACAACATCAAAAACTGATTTGTAACTGACAAATAACGATTAACATATATTTGATAAAATGAAGTGAAGTGAAAGACAATGATCACACGTTACCAATAAAATCTCAATATCTATGCAGGGAAGTTTTGAAGTGTTAAATAGTCGATAAACTAGTTTTTCTCAGTTATAAGGTCAAAATACGTATGTCAGTATATAATTTTTACAAATTGAAATCTGACATGTTTAGTTCGCATTGAATGCACAGTGTGAACAAATAACTTAATCTACTGTTGGTGTCTCAAAATAATTATGTTTGACTATAAAGCACATGTTTGAATTCTGTGTTTAGTACAATGTATTAAAATGTCACTATTTCGTGATAATTTCAGTGTTTCTTTTCACATATTGGAACACAACTAAACTACAGCATTTACAAGAATAATATAGACTCTAACCGAATCATTTAACTCTTGCGTGAAATCAACTTTTATCAAAGATGCGATAATACATAAGCTTGTTGTTGGATTGTTTCACGTAATTACACTCACGAATGTACAATTACAGGAACAATGTCTATATAAAGTTTGTATGAAGGTCGCAAGGCAATAACTTATCAACCAAACAATACACTAATTTGAATAAAAAAGCAGTTATGTTACTCTGATACCATAAAACTGAAATTTTGACCTATATAAATCAGATAATTTCGTAGTACTTGTTTGTTACATTAGTAAGTTGTGTATTAGTGAGATAATTATAGATTTAAAAAGTGACACTTAGATATCTCTAATTGAAATGTTATGTTTTTGCTCCATATAAATAAAATAATATAGTTTGGATTATTTGATTCATTTCTCTAATCATTTTGCACATACTCAATTATGTACGAGATCAGCAACACTAAAATAACTGAACATTCAAAATGCACAAAAAACTTAAATATGTAATCACACAAAAATTGTCTATTAAGAAGTCAAGGGTGTCTTAGATTTCTTCCCCTAGGTCTGCCATTAACTACTCATAGTAAAGGTCGTGTGTACATTGTTCTTGTTCAAACCACACAAAACTTAGTCTTAAACTTTCAACTGTAACGGACCTCGAGACAGTATTAGTGTGTCAACTATCTGTGAATGATAATAGTTGCAAACAGGCTGTACTCTAAAATCACAAAGTTTTAATAATTTTATTTAGTTGTTGCAAAATGACTTACTACAGCGTTTATTAAACCAAATGTTAAAGTTAAAGATAGGAATGAAAACAGAGCTACGTATGTAGAATAAGATTATGTTTAATCCATAAAGTCAAACATTATATCCAGTGAAACATGTATAATGGGTGCGTATCTACTTATAAAGTGAAACAGTAGGATCGTCTGTTAAATTATTACTTGTGATAAATAGTTAGAGATAATTATGACTGAAAGTTGTGACTTTCTGATATACCAAGTATTGTTTTATGATAGATATATATGTAGTACATTAAGTAATAGCCATTTGAATATTTTACAGTTAGGAGAGTGGGTTGATTGAAAAATCAACAATTGAAAGGTATTACGACCCTTACTTTCTGTGTTATTAAGTAATATATATGAGCGAGACATGTGTAATAATAGCTGAAATGCCACCCTACTGGCGGCTGTATGTGCTACTAATTACTAATCGCAATATTCATACCTCATTGGAAAAAAATTAGAAAAGTGAACATTTTCTAAAAAAAGATTTATTTTTCTGGGAAGTACTGCGTGGAAAAAGTGATTGCATAAAATGATTCAATGTACAGAGATCAAAATTTTCATAAATTTTACTGATATATAATGTAATGACTTTAAAAGTGGTACCATTTATTGATAAAATAATAGGCTTTTTAGTACTACATTTAAAAATTATATCAGTAAAGATATAATAAAACTCTCACATACAATCCTAGTGAAAGTCGTGTTTTATTTGAAACTAACAGCATTACCTGGCGTTGCCCGGGTTTTCGAAAAAAACAACAAACTGTTCTCTCTGTTTCCCTGTTCCATATTTCGATAGGTAAATAATATTTTGTATATTTATGAAAAATAAAACAACCTTAGGTTTGATTTTTGAAATAAATTACGAACCTGTTTTAAATCAAGGCTTCCTTATGAACGGTGTTTTTACTGGCAAGGATAAATAGGCCTTTATGGAGTATAGTTAGATTATCTTATACACGTATGAGTACTCATTCTGGCGAACAGGATAAGCTTAGCTCTATTCCTCCATCCCCCATCATCCCTCCTCAAATATTAAAATTTTAAACATAAGTAAATATGTGCGTAATGTTATGTTGAATTTGCTTTAATTTAAATATAATATACTTTTATGAATGTGATACCGTATTCACATTATGACAATGATGTATGAAATATACTACAAACATAATGCAATATTGTACTTTATAATGTATCAAAAGGAAAAAAAATACACTTCCAGGAATCAAACCACTGGGAGAAAAAAAATTGAGAATAAAATACATTTGATGACTTGATTTTAATCTTATTTTACACAATAAGTATTATAGTCTGGTATTATTAAACCTCCAGCTAGTGAGCTCTGTGAGAAAACCGTTTCACAGGAAGTACCATAACATGTAGAACTATAAATACTGTACATATCTTAGATAACAGTGTTTCTATTATGATAATTTTATGTTCAATATTTATTGATATTTATGTTTGTTTTATATTCCATTATATTTTGCTTTGTATTTGATATTTGAGCCACAATGCTCTTAATTTTGTTTAATATGTTTACTGGCCAGCTGTTGAGCCTTTTTTATGATTAAATTTTGATTTTAGCTATTTCAAGTTTTCTAATATCATTTTGGTTTAACGTATTCAATTTGGAGATTATTGTGTATTATTTGATTTGAGTTTTATTCTGATTTTGATTATATTTTTTGATTTGCTTTTACTGGTTGCTGAAATTTTGCGTTAACTCAAATTTTGTTTTATTTGTTGATTTATGTAATTGAAGCCGAAGATAACCCATTACCTAAGTACAAGTTAGTTATTTGTTTCTGTTTTGTTCTGATATTTTAAACGTTAGGTGCATCATTTTAATTGACAGGAAAATTCTGTGTCTTTGTAATTTTTTGTACAAAATTATTGTCATATTTAGTTTCTGGAACATATTTTTTATATTTTGTCATTCTGGTAAAAACATCATTTACCTTTTACCATTATACTAACAGTTTTAATATGCATTTACAAGCTTTAATATTTATTTATGCAACAGGATGACTTCATATCAATACTCTTATATTTTTCCCAAATAACTGTTACCTCAGGGTTACATTACATTATATACACTTACATAAGAATCACAGTTTCATACAAGTACTTTTTATTCACGCGCATATAAAGAAACTCCACCAACCCTACACACGTATGAGCTCCGTAATTTCAGGACAAAACCAAGTGCTTTATATAAGACTTGAACTGTATATATTGAGTAATTTATTATATTACAGGTTTTGGTCTTTGAAGATCTTAAATAATTAGAATTTTTCTACATACAAGCACCACTTGTTTTATTTTCTTTGAAAACCTTTTGCAACAAAGAGCGCCTGCAACAGGTATTCAGCGAGCGGTGCTTAAATATTTAAGGGTAAATACATATCAGACAATTCAGGAGGAAAATAAACAGATCTCTACATATTATGGACGAAGTTTGTAGCTTGTCTAAAATTTATATATATATAAATATATATATATATGCAAATACAAAGAACAATTTTAAAATATTCAACTTAATCTTTTTCTTTGTTAGACACTATTCAAATTCTAATAGTTTACGTCT